TATTTTTCCGTGATATTACCGTTATGTAAACGAATTGATTGATAAAATTAACATCAAAATCAATAATCAAAATCAATAATCAAAATTGAAATTGACAAAAAAAAAAAAAAAAAAAAAAGCACACAATTTATAAAATTAGAATTTGAATAATTGTCTTTTAAATAGTAAAATCTTAAATGTAATAGAATTACTACTATAAAAAAAAAACTATACATCAGTAGTACTTCCTTACAATATTAAAAGTATTTTTTTACATATAAAAATAAATACAAAAAATGAATGTAGTTATTTGGAGAATGGATAATATGTTTGTGTTTGTGATTTAAGTAATAAATGTCATGATGTAGTTTAAATAATAAATAATGAATGAATGATAAGAATATGTAGGTTAATGGTATTATGAAGAAAATGCTTAAAGATAAACCAGCTATCTAATATTCATCTTAAATAATTGTTGTTATAATCTATACATTTTTTTTTGGTGTTATATACTTACAAAAATCTAAAAAGGAATTCTAAAAATATTTGTGTTTTGAATAAACGGAAAAACGAATTGAAATTTACGAAATTTTTTTTTGTTTGTTTGTGTACCAAAAATTAAGATACGACTAGTTGTTTTCGAATTGGAATGACGTCATTGAATATTGAATTATTGTCCGTTTCAGTGTTAGATGTTGGAAACATCGTAATATTGGTTTTACTACGAACTAATACTTCTAAAACGTTTCGAAGATTTGTTACAAAACCAGTATCGGTATTTACAAATTGAACTAGATCGATTACATGTAAAGATTCTTTCACGGCGATGAAACGTATTGAAACAGATTCACTTGTAAGTGGATATATTGGCCTAAATAAAAATTATTAAGATTATTAAGATTATTAAAAGGTTAAAAATTATTAACATTAAACTAAAGTGAACAGTTAAAATCTATATAAATGTGCATATAGTTACCCTGTACAAGCGCTATTCTCCAAACAAACCAAATCAGCATCAGAAGTCTCAAATTCTAGATATTTTTTGAGAAAGTCTGATTCATTTATAAAAGGTTCAATTTTATCCGATAGATTGCCATGTATCGAAAGCATCGAAATATCATTATAACTATTGCCAGAAAGCTTTGATACTATTGATAATGGTGATTTATTATTTGGAAGTTGATTTTTGTTTGGAACCTTGATCGTGAATTTTTTTATTTTACTCGATTTATTGAAGATAGAAATTTGTACAGTGAATATCTGACCAACCACAACCTCGGAGTTAACTATAAAAAAAAAAAAAAAATTTTTTTTTTTTAAGTTATAGACACTGGAATAAAAACTAAAAAGTTTGGGGAAAAAAAAAACATACCGGAAAATGATACAGCAACGCAATCACCATCAATAACAGCCTTTTGTGACTTTGGAACACGACCTCCAATTAGAGTTCCATTTGTTCCATTTATGCCATTACATATTGACTCGAGTGCAGTTGGAACGCTCAAGTGCTTCTTAAAATGTATATCTGAATTAAAAGTTTTTGCAGAAAGTGGCGTTAATATACCGGTTGATAAAAAACTCGAATTTCTCGAAGAAACGGAGGTTTGAGATACAGTAAATCTTGAATTTTGCTGGGTTTGTTGAATTAATTTGTTAATAGGTATTGAATTATCACGCTTGAGTAAACTAGCTAGATCTAGCATACAATTCCATTTAGATTCAATAGCATGTATTTTCTCATTTTCTAAAATGGGGGAACCTTTTATTCTGATGGAAAGTGGACGCTGTCGATCATCAGCTGGAGATGGGGAAGGTAATTTAGCAGAAAAAATGGAAGAAACAGAACTTCTACGTGAAGAACTGCGAGAACTCATCAAAGATGGGGGAGAATAATGTTGTTGTGTAGAGGGAGTAGGTAAGGATGGTTTCTCAAGTATTACGATATTATAAAGTAAGGACACTTGATCGAGCGAATTCAATGTCAACGGAAAATCATTCTATATAAAAATAAATTAATTAACCATCAAAGATATCGATATAAATAATTGGAAATAAATAATCGGAAACGTACCACATTCTTATCTTGCGTATATTCGTATCTTGTTACAAAACTATGAGGAACATCTATTTTAATCGAATCCACAGCAAATGAAACGGGTGTTTCCGTGCTATTGTTTTCAACCTCAATAGAAATCATCAAAGAGTTGTCCAATGGAGAAACACTTATTGTTCGCATACGAACATTTAATGCAGTTTTCAAAGATAATGATTTAAAACAATTTCTTTTTAAACATTTTATTGGTCCACACATGTTTCGTTTGTTTACAGAATCTAACACTTGTAAACGAGGTGGATATATTTGAAAAGGAGAATCCTCAAAGATTGGATCTATGATACGTAATATAATATTAATTATTTTCTTTAATAAATAGATTTAATAAATAGATTTAATAAATAGGATTAATTTAAATACCATCAGCAAGGCCAGCTAACAAATTCATTTGCCCAAAAAGTTGATGAGAATACAAATCTGATGCATCTTTAGGGGCCATCAAGGATGATGGCTGCAAAGATACAGAAACATTTAATGATAATATTGGATTAGCAGAACGTGTTTTCATGAAATCTAATTATTGATAAAATAAAATATTTCAGATTTAATATTTTTAATGCTCAAGAATTTGGAAAATAAAAATTTGATAAATTGATACTTACTCACAGACATTCTTAATGGGACGACACAAGTCCAACTATCTTTAAACTTAACGACGACCATTTTTTGATCATCTTTATTCGGGTCGTAAGGGCATGAATAAATAATGGAACCTTCCGACATTTTATTTACTTTATCAGAAGAAGAGGGAGATCCAGGTATTGAAGGAGGAGTTGAGGTAGAACTAGAACGTGACCTTTTAATTGAATGATGATACGATCTAGGAATAGAAGAAAGCGATGGGACAGAAGTATTGTACGAATCATTGAGGGAAGCTTCAACATTTATGTCCAGTTGATGAAAAAACTCATTCATAGTAGCGAGATCATAAATGGCAGAATCAGAGGATAGACCAATAACAAGATAAAAGTGTAAAAGTTCATCTTTGTTAATATTAAAAAAAAAAAGATTAAAAAATAAGAAAAGATTAATAAAAAGGAATCAATTATGTATAAGCAAAAAAAACATAATAATGAATAAATAAAAAAAATAAAATAAAATAAAAATAAAGTAATAAAGAAAAAAAAAATAAAAATAAAAAAGGATGAAAAAAAAGGTAAAATAAAGATTAAAAACAGAAATATATGCATACCATAAAAGACCTGAGAACGAGATTGGGCAGATAGTATTGACAGCACACGTTCTTCATTACATTCAAGAATACCATTTGGAACAATGATATCCAACGTGGCCTCGCTTAGTAGGATTTCGCGAGATATCATGATAACTTTTAACAAATCGTAAAGGAATGAAAAGTGGTAAAATAAGATATTTATTGAAAAAAGATAAAGTATCACCGGCCGCAAATATACAGATATACACTAACCTTTGTGTATTTATTTACCATGAAAATAAATTAATAAAATATAAAATCTTAATAATATATATATTAATATATGCGAGTTAATTTATGTATACTCTATATCAAAATGGATGGTGTACGTTAATCATGTATACTATATATTAAAATGGATAGTGTAACTTTTCCGAGAAACTTCAATGAATCTACTATAAGAACCAATAAAAAACATTAATACTTGTAATAAACTCAATTTAAAAAAAAACATTAACGTCAAATCTCGGATGCATCATTTACCGTGTTAATCTAATTCGAAATAGGATTAAATAATGAAGATGAAAAAAAAAAAAAACAAGGATTAAAAAGCCTTGATTTTCCAGAACAAGGAATAAAGCATTTTAGAGACTTTACAAAATTATGCCAAAATTATGCAAAATACAAACAACTTTAAATTAATTATGTGAACCCCTGCAAAAGAGCAAATAGTAACTTCATGCATACCAAGAGCAAATAGTAACTTCGTGGGTCGAATTATCCATACCAAGAGCAAATAGTAACTTCGTGGGTCGGAACGATCCTTCTGCGATTCGATAGTACAGTACAAATATTAATTGGTAATGATCATTACGTAATTCACGTGATTAGTATTTAAGAGTGTTTGTTATTACCCTGTACTCTGTCATTATGTTCATTATGTAATTAATGCACAAATTCGCAGATTAACGTATAACGATAATACCGTATCGGGTTTTTATATTTCCCACCTTAATAAGGAAATTTAGAATGCCATAATGTCAATAATACGTATTATTTCAGTGTTTTTTAATTGAACAAGTAGATATGCGCGCACATATCGATATGTACTCACGTACCAACAAGAAACCCCTTAAAACATGTATCATACGTATATATCAAACGTGGATATATATGCATACGACGAGAAAACATTCGTTTTTTTATTGAAGTACGTGCATATGAAGTAATTATCTATTACGTACAAATAGTGCTTCTTCAATCATAGGTTATACAAGAATAGTTAAGCAATTCGTAATAAGTCGTCGAAAAAAAATGTTAGGTTCTGATACATATATGAAGTCATTGCATGCGATTCTAGCATATATTTTGGTTGTTATAGTGACTAAATTTAATCAGGACAACAATCCGTAGAAGAATGTGGCTTCCATATCGATTTGTTCTAACAGAGTTTGGGTTTTAATTGGTTATTCATATTTATAGTTTCATTTTGCCACAATTCATGTGTAATGCTTTTTTTCCAAAAAAAAATACGATTTATCAAATATTAATATTAATACCGATATGTTAAATTACATAAATTTAAATTTTAATCTATCTAAATTTAATATTTTTAATGGCTGATCGTCCATCAACATAGTTATCATCCTTATTTGTTAATAATTTACTGATAACGAAAATGATCATATGTAAGGTTCAATTTAAAGCTAGCCGGATTAAAGATCGCTGTGACTTGATTTTTTGCCCTTTTTGTTCTAGTGCTATTTTTCCTGTCGTTGAGAAAAATTTTATAAGTAAAAAAATGGAATCGGATTTGAGATGCAACGTCGTACAATGTCGAAAGATCCTAAATACTGAAGGCCGCGCCTGTGTAACAACTTGCTCGCGTAAGAAAAGGTCGATTCCGTTTTGAATTGGTTGAATGTGGTCTACCATTTACTTTTCTCTCTCTCTCTCTCTCTCTCTTTCTCGTTCTCTCTAGATATTTTTTGTGGTATCTATTTTCTAAAATCGTAAAGAATATATTATTTAATAATGCCTCTCATATAATCAATATTTTTGTGGATTTCTAGTCGACTGTGCCAATAATGCATTTTCATCAGCGCTGGTCTGTCCAGCTTGTGAAACAAGCCTAACAGAAAAGTTCGCGTTTTTTTTTTTAAAAAAAAAAAAAAAACGAGATAAAAAACAAATTATAATAAAAATAGAAATAAATTAATCTTTTTAAATCTGCAATTATAAAATTTCTATAAATTTTTTTGACCAGTGACGATATCGTATTTGCCGATTTGAATCCAAGCGAAGATTACAAGTCTGTGAGTTATTTAAATAATGCCCTGAAAATTAAATTACTTTTTATTTCATATCAATTTATTTGTTTGATTAGTCTGTCCTTTCAGGTTTAAGACCGGATATTATAATGGAAATTTGTTCGCGTGCATTATCATTTTGGACTTATCAAACGACTCAGGAAGCTTGTTTTCAAGAACTGATGTACAAGAGTCTAGAAGACAAGTATACACAATTGGAGAAGCAAGTACAAGGTTTAATGAGGGATGCTCAGTCCGAGGTTACGAGTAAGTTTCATGATTACCATAAAATCGCGAAATAATGTATAACGCGCTGGCATGCATTATTGCTATTCTATGATAGTTGAATCATTGTTAATTTTTTCTTATTTATTTATTTTTATTATTAGCTTTGAGAGCAAAAGTTCAAGGTAGCTTATTTTTATTTATTTGTTCATTCATTATTTATTTATATACATTCTTAAATATGTATATATTCTTAAAATTTTAAATGCCTTTTGTTCAGCGTTACAGAAAGATATGGAACTCGAAAAACGGAAAACGCATGACTTAGCAGAACAATTACAGGAAAAAGGTCGCCAATTTTCAAAATTACAGGTTCGTTAATTAATTTTATAATTTAATGTGTTGGTATAAAAATTTTATATAATAAATAAATATAGATATATATGTATATCTTTTTTTTCAGGTTATGTACGATAAATTGATTTTGATTATTGATTTTGATGTTAATTTTATCAATCAATTCGTTTACATAACGGTAATATCACGGAAAAATA